CTAATTGCGCATGCCTCGCTGTTTTCCCTAGTACATGTACACCATATATTCACTTAAAGACCTGTCATTGTTTGGGATCGGTAATTATTTAACTTGGGGGGGGGGGGGGGGGGTTTGCTGCGTGAAATTAGTTGCAACTGATGTGAGATGATAGTTTTGCTTACGTCGTTTTGTGGGTGGAGCAGGGGTTGGAGCACATCCTTGTCCGTAACCTAATCGACGAAAAAGAGGAGGATGGTAATTCAATCAAAAATAAAATGAAACCAAAATGTTATTGATATCAGAACGGAGGTGAAATTTAAAATAAAAAATTCGCCGAACCTCCCATGGCGATTTTATGATTGATCCAATCCACATAGGAGCTTATGCGGGTGAAAACGGTGTAAGTGGTCTCTGCTTCACACCGAGGATGTCCCCAGCTCACAGCCCCATGAAGTACAAAATGCCCATTTTCTTTACAAACAAATGGACCTCCACTGTCTCCCTGGCAGCCGCTGATCACATTTCCTGCTGTCGCATATCCAGCGCATACCATGCTGTGTTTATCCACTGGCACAATATCTTTGTTGGCCACTGCGCATGTCTGATGCTCCACTACTGGCATGACAGCTTGTTGAAGGATTTTTGCTGGTTTTCCACCGCCGATGATTCTCCCCCAACCTATAAAAATGTCCTAAGCTTAGTCTTGAAGATATAAGTTTTCGTCTGTCACGAATTCTTCGTTCGGCACACTAAGTGACAAGCCCTGAAGAATATCACAGAAGGTTAGAGGAGCCCCAAACAATAAATCGCTCTTTCTTTCGGTTGACCGACGTAATAACCCGCTTGTGATGGTGGGAGATCACGAGAAACATTTGTAAATCACTCACCTTTCGCCTCGTGATTAACAAACTTTCTTCGCATTCTCCCAGCATCACAAGAGGTTTATTACATCGGCCAACCAACAGAAAGTGTAGCCTATTGCTTTTAATTTATAAAATAAACTTAAAACAAAACACATTATGTTTCAAGTTTCTATGGGTTTCCTGGTGAAACAAACTATAAGTTTTCGACCAATCAGGGCACTCGTACTATTTCGGTTGTTTTATAAAGAATGATGTTGAACATCAAAAGTTTTATATTGCATACGCTGGCAATTATCCCTTTTCAACAATACGAACGCGAAAAGTCTTCATGTTAGGGCCTGTCACAAGTGCAATAGATTGATTTAGTGTTTCGCCGTCTCGCGAAAACTGATTGTAAAGAAAGTTGATATTTTTGCATGCAAGGGTAGCGTTACAAAATTTGAGAATTTTCCAAGTTTCTTGATAGATTCTTACTCGCTCCCATATTTCAAAGAAAAATAAATAACCCAGTTCCACGGCCAGGGTTATGTTCATGACGTGAGTACAAGACTTTGATTGGCTACCTGTTATGTAACAGTTAGTTCCGGCGGGAACCTGTCGACTTTGCTGTGGTAAGCAAACGGTGCTAATCCTGTCACTCAGCACTACCGGTTTGGCGAGTGTGAGCAGGGCGATATCGTTTTGTATATGTTTCATGGAGAATCCTTCGTGATAACAGACAGCAGCCACGTCTATCAGTTTTTCTGCACCTTCTTCTACGGTCTGGTCGTGTTCACCTGAGAGAGAAAAAAGAGAGAAAAGGAAAGTATTAAAAAGAGAAAAGAGGAAAAGGAAGAGGAAAGAAGGAAAGGAAAAGAGGGAAGAAAAAAAGAGAAAAGAGAAAGAATATTAAAAATAAAAAAATCGTGTAAAGGGAATGAGAAATAAGAGTTCCTTGAAAGTTTTCCAGATGAATGGCGTAAGGACGATACGAATAAACCTAAAGACAAAGAAAACTACGCATGCACACAGATCTCTGAGGCGGAGCGTTTAATACAGTCCTGAATGAATAAGTTCTTCAACGGACTTCAAAGTCTCAGTTGCTTTTTCATCTGATCACTTTTGACTAAGAAAACACTATTCGTATTCCAATTACCGTGAAGAAAGAGTACTTCTCTCATAAACCCAACATATATTACATCCTTAGAAGAGCCTGCATGTTACGAATAAAAATACTTTTACTTAGTTGGTGTCTTCTAAAGGAAGCCCATCTCACAAGCAGCTGAACCCTTTCGGTTTTGTCAATGACGACTTCCATCACACAAATTGCGAAGAGTAAAAACAGCAAACATGAGATTTCCAAGCGAAAGACAAATACCCTATCACGCGGTATTTAAGGACGAAATTAAGCTTACCTACGACAACTTTGTAACGACTCGGAGCAGCATTTTGCACGACACAGTGTGCTGCGGTGACAACATGCGTCGGAGAAATGAGAGATCCTCCGCAAATGTGATACAGTTTTCCTCGCGCTTTAACTCTCAAAGATATCTGCCAAGGCCAGGAATTTGGCTCAGCATTAATTCCACCCACCACACGTGTAGAAATTGGTCGCTTGCCGCATCCTGCGGAAAAGAGGGTACAATAATTACGGTATATGACCTTAAGTAACCCACAGTGAGGTAATGGCATATAAACCATCAAGCCTGATGGTTTAGAACTTTGCTCCGGAAATCGATTCAGCTTCATGCTTCTTACTATATCTTACTATCATTTGCTTTTGGGCATTTAGCATCCCTTTCGAAAAAAAAAAAAAAGACTGCGGTTGTAACACAGGTAAGCACCGATGTTCCGACAAGGATATCTTACTGATCATCAGACTTTAAATTAAATGGCTAGGTTTTTATAAGTGGTGCGAGGAGATTTAAAAGATAACAAGTACTTATTGCTTATAAATCAATGAAAAAATGATCAAATTATGCTTAATTTATTCTGGAGTAAAGCTGAAGACGTTTGATTCTAACAAATAGTCTTTCAACAATTCTTAGGGGTAATTTAGCTTAGTCAACTCTTTTTTTGTTCTGCCTTGACGAAGGGCTAACGCTCGAAACGTCAGCTCAAGAAATTCTTTACGGTGGCTAATTTGCATTATCAACTCAGTTCATAAAACCAAAGTATCCCATAAAACCCCACATACGCAGCGCTACGGTTTCTTCAGAGACTTACCCCTTAATTCCTAGGAATAGTTTGCTACATTTCTTGCAGTCGAGAAATGAGGAATGTGGAATGAATCTTAGAGAAACAGCGTTCGGGTTGGTAAGTCTCCAAAGTCTAGACGAAATGTCTCATGTTTGCTATTTGCCTACCACGTTAACCTTTCCTCTCTTGTACCAGGCTTTTTCAGTTGCGAGTTTTATTTCGCGCACAGTATTTCACACCGTAGGTTTAATTGTACAGAACGATAAACTCCAAAGATCCAAAAGAAATTCAACATAAAATGATACAGCATAGTTAATTAAACTGGTAGTGTTGAATGCTATTCAAAGAAATCATTGCTATTTCTGTACCTTGATTTCCATGGGCAAGAGTTAACTCTGAGAGCAAAAACACTACAGATAGCATTACCGAGCCCATCCTGATGTGAAGTCTTGAACGCTGGAAAACTCACTTTTGCCTCTAATGAACGAAGCTTAAGTATGGCCTTCGAGCAAGCTAACATCTGCTCTATGGTGCTGCTGTGACGTTTCGCAATAGTAGATGTCAAGTTTTCCGAGTGCGAGCAGATTTCCAAGCACACGTGGACCAGCTGCACCGCTGAGGTAAACACTTCAACCGGACGATGCACTTCATGCCATTTATTTCGTTTAGTCTTTATTTTTGAAATTGAAAAACAAGAGACAAATACAATATATTTGTCTTATGTATACTAAGTTAGGAAGAGATGATTCCACTGTCAGAAAGAAGATACAAGGATTGCAGGTTTATTCCATGTCATGACTAATATTTTAACAGCCGTTTTTTTTTTCTGTTTTTACCCTATTCTTGAGGATAAAATTGATTTTTTCACATATCTGAAAAGTGAAAAGAAGAAGGAAAATCTACCTTTCACTCTTACAAGAGTTTCTTACCGGGTCATTACCAAAATTATTGAAATCTAATCGTAGGTCACCTTCACCGTAACAACTAATTGCGTTAAGATCATCCAGTTGAGAATTTTCTGGCTGACGACCATGACTTGCACATTTTATTGAAAATTCGACCTCTTTCAGTAAACTTTACATATCTGTTCTCACTAAAATTATCGCATTAGTTAATCGACCATTCCCCTTAACCAGAGGCGAATCTTTAAAGGATATCCACCACTTCATATTTCAAGCAAATTTTATCCTATTTTCAGATTAAATTTGAATCATTTCTAGGGAGAATGCCCCAGACCCCCACATCAGTTTCCATATAAGCAAGCCCCTCCCCATTACTCATAGAAAGTCCCTAAAAATTTACGATCAGCCATTGAGTAGCGTTTTATTTCACATTCTGTCTCATAATGCTATCCCAAAATTAACTCTGTTAACCGCAATATGTCTTTTTTAGTTTGGCCCGTCCGTGCGATTTCGGGCTAGAGATACATATTGTGGTCTAGACCGTGTGCTCGCAAGGGAGCAATCTTTGCGTTTTGAAGATCATGTTTTCTCTCAGGCTTTCAAATCTAGTAAGTAGTATTTCGTTTAATTTAGTTCCCTTTTTTCAAATGTATTTTTTCCATTTTTAGTCAAACCAGATCGCACGAGTCGTATTAAACAGATTATACAGATTCCGAGTTAAACATTTATCCATGCAGGCTACACACTCCTCCAGGAAGGAAATAAGATGAAGCAAATAGAGCAAAGAGGAATCAATTGATATGATAGATAGTTTTTATGTGGAGTTTTGAATTACAGTGCGAGAATTCGAGTTCTCAGTTCTACAATGAATCATAAGTTTCATGTCATGCGATCGTTGTTGCGTCAACTCTGTTAATATGTATTCCGCTGTTCTGTTTCTTTTGTGTCTGATTTTTTGAGACATATACGAATCTCAGCTGAAAATTGATTCACGCTTACGTTCATTTCAAATGTTTGAGGGTGAGGTAATATGACAAGATTGATTAGTACCTCACTGAGCTTATCACAAGCTTTAACTGAGCCAGGTGCAATCTCAAAACAGGAGTGAATCAGCTCGCAAGGAAGATAAATGCAAAGTACCAGTCTCTTCAGCACTTCTTACAACGTAACCTTTATGAAGTACAAATCATGGTACCTGTGTATTCCTACTCAGAAGCCCTTCAATTCCTAAATTTAAGAACATTAGACGAGAGACGTAGTGAACTCTGTTAAAACTCTTGAAAAGATCTCAAAAGGAGGACATCGATTAAATATCTCCCAATGACGAGACATTGCATGCATCACTATCAAACGAGATGCGCTAACAAATATACATTAACTAAATTCAGGACTGAAAGATAGCGCCGTAGTTTTTTCCAAGTACTAGTTTAGCTTTCAGAAATCAATAGACTTTTAGACCCTATACCTACATATATATTTTAACTTCTATTTGTAATTTTAATACAAAATCTATTGTAATCCAGTCCCTTATTGATTAATAGTATGTGATTCTTATAGTTGTAAATTTGTAACCACATTGTACTTCAGATTAACAGCGATTATGGTGGAATTAAACTTCTTTTTTCATTATCATTATTACTATTATTATTTTTACAACGGTAAAGCACAAAACTTTAACTTTTTCCAAATGCACTAAACTATTTGTGACAACATCGGCATGCGTTTTAAGTACGACATTTTTCTATGTTTCAATGTATCGATCAAGAGTAAGATAAGGAAGTAGGTAAGGTTCTGCTTAAACGCTTATATAGTTTCAAATAGAAGATCTCATTGGGGTTTAACCGTTAGCGGTAAAAAAACTGAAAAATCTAACCGTCATCGTGAGAACTCAACCGTTAGACGTAAGGCGGCCCAAAAACTGAACCTGAAGGCGTAAAAAGCTACAAAGTTTAAATGTTAGCTGTAAGCGTCACAACTCCATTAAGACCTTCACAACAGTGACCCAGTTGCGTCCTATTGCAGCCAAACAGACCACATTAGTACAAGAAAAAGTCCCGTTCTTTCGCTTCTTTACTGTACGATACGAATTTGTCTTCATTTGTAGCATATTTTACACTTTTTCCACCGCTTCCTCCTAACTCTTTTGATATTTCCCTCAGCATGGCCTTGGCATATTCTCCGATAAAATCGGACATTTCGCTGTCCTCGGTTGGGTTTTCTTCCAAGATTTCTCTTGCGTCTGTGAAGGAGTCGTTCAGTATGGCCACAAAGAAGTTCATCATGAAAACAGTCATACCGGAAAAATAAAAAAACATGAAGAACGGCCCGAGAAAACGGTTTATGGCTTCCAGCTCGTCATAATTAGTTCCTTTGCCAAGTATCATCTCGCAGACGTTCACCAATGACCTCGTGAATGTAGAAAACATGTACGCTGAACGTCCAAACAGCATGTTACCTATGACGGCAAATGCCAGAAGAGCCACAAGGAATACAAGTGAATACGATGTCATAGGACCTCGGGATACATTTATGCTTTTCGCCAACTGGGAGATATGCTTATTGAACTTCAAGATGCGAAGGAACTTCAGTGTGGACAGAAAGGTAACCATGGAAATAACCATATTTTCAACGTCTGTCCATAACGCAACATAATCAAAACTCATCCGGCCATAAGGATTTTCATGAACTTTCGCGACGAGTTTTCTGGTTTGTTCGGCTTTGAAGAAGAATATCACCATAGTTGTAAGTGTGAGGCATATCAATGTCCACTCGTGAAAACTCCATATGTCCCTCAAGTAAGCCCAGCCCGTCTGACGCATTTCGCGTATTTCTATGTATATAGAGTATACGAGTATTAAAACAATGATTACGTAACATGCAATAAAAACTGAGCCGGTGTGTGAACTGGTGCTGCGGGAAAACGAAATGGGGTCAATACGATAAGATATTTCCATGCCTCCCGTAGGTAACCACTCGAAAGAATAACGAGTAAAAGCGAACAGATTTGTCGCGGGCTCAAATGTAACGAACTCAAACAACACAATAACTGTCCGTCTGTTAATCCAGTTGTCAGCAATAAGGTTGGCAATGACCTTCCAGGCAGTCTCATTTTCATATCCTAACTCTGCTACAAGTCCGCCACCGTAATAAGTGCCGAATGCTGTGATAATAGGTAAAGTGCCTAAGGACATTGCATCCTGGAATTTGACGGTGTGGTCACACGTGATTGGCACGATGGAAAATATTTCTTGGATGCTTTCATTGGTGTAACTGCTACCATTAATACTGTTGCTAATATCAGTGTAACCGCTGTTGCTGCCAGTTCCGATATCGGCATAAAATGGCGAGACATCAATTAACTCCAGGCTTGAATGGCCTTCATCAAGGTTGCTGCCTTGGTACTCATGATAACATCGAGGAAACCAACGTTTAAACTCTGGATAAGCAGACCAAGTAAGACATGGCTCTAAAATATGAAAAAAATTTCTACATCAGCTTGATAATCCTTAACAAACTAATGCAAAAACCATATTTACTAAAAATCCTTTTGTATGAGTGGTACATATGGCACACTAGATTGTTAGTTGACAAAAATGGGCAGGAAAATGATGCCTTAATGTCTAGAACCCCAAATTTCTAGAAAATGTGTTGTTATTGTGGATCTTGGGCCATATCCTTTGACGTAGTATTTGCTTCGTTTTATTTGTTTTTACCATTTTTGACCTCAAAGAGTTCGAATGCTTGAGTACATGGCAAGGCAAATAATAGCGTATTCATTTCAACTTAAATGTTAGCGTGTTTAAAGCAGAAGTGTTTTGAAAATGAGTAGACAAAACTCTGCTAAACCGCTTTATCAAAATCGTCCTATCATTAAGATTGATAACCGCTCTAGACAAGCAGGAGTTTATAGAATGGTTTAATTTTTTTGGTTTTAACCTTATTGCAATACCTGGTTTTATACGCAGCTGCCGTAGTCGGGGAAGGCCGACAATAAACGCCCTCTTATTTGAGAAGAAATCTTCCTCTTCAAATGGTTGTCCATTGTACCATGGGGCACTGTACAAACCAGGAAGCATAAATTTCTCGCACCACCACCAAAATGTGTGTACATTCTTGACCTACAGTAAGAGAATTTGCGCATGAGAGCTGGATACAGAAACAATATACCAAACAGAGATGGCTTCTGGATTTTCACTACTTCATTATGGAAGCACAGAAGCCGGCTTGTAATCGACATGGACGGCTCTGTTTAGTTTGATAACTGTATGTCTGACCCATTCTTTGTTTCTATGCCATTTGGTATCACGTCATATGACCGGGCTGACAATTAAGCTCTGCTTTGAGATAACTAAGAGTATGTTATGACACCCTTGATAATACGCATGCAAAAATTTCAGCATGCTGATAAGCTTATCAGCATGATGAAATTTTTGTATGTGTGATGGCTTTAGTTTAATGGTTACTGCTATCGACTGATACCTAACAGAGAAAGATTGCAAACGCTCAGTTATTCTTTAGAGGAAAGCCTGGCAACACAGAGAACAAGGCATGGGGAAGCAGCCGAACTGGAGAGCCATGATAAGATATAAAGAAAACTTCAAAGGAAAACAGAGTCATATATTTGCTTGTGTATTATTAACCAGCAATCGCATGATTTTCTCGTACAATTTGGGATAAATCAGCACTCGTAAGCTTTTCCAAGACTACAAATTACGCTTGCCCTACGGGTTCGAGCAATTTGGTTAGCCTTTGAAAATTTTACCAATGCTGATTTATTCCAAATTGCACTCGAAATCATGTGATTACCTATACAAATTGTGATGAAAATTTTCAGTATTCAGATTTCACAGACATGATTACAAAAATAATTTCATCAGTAAATAGCTACCAAGGAATAGAAATAGAGGCAGATGAAGTAAGAGCAATCTCGAAAGCTCCTTCCTCTACTTAAAACTGTGACAAAGAGCAACTGATGAGAAATGCATATTACTTCATAGCCTACCTTGTCAAGTTTTGCATTGAAGATGTCCTCCATGTTTTTGTTCAATCTAAATCTGTCGCTCCCTATACCTCCGTAACAAACTACCGCCAAAAGTAGGGCAAACGCAAAATGTAATGCAAATTTAAAGACAAATTTCCACATTTTAACTTCCTTGACCCTCTTTTGTCTGGCAATTGCCACTTTAAGTGGATCAGGAGGAGTGTAAAGCTCCGACAGCGTCTTAGGGCTCTGCAGCTCATCTTCAACTGGATTTGAGCCCTCAATTTCTGTGCTTGAAATCTCCGCGACCTCGCCATCCTGAACTTCTTCTCTGTCTTCCTCCGGGGGCTTGCGTAACAAAATAGACAGCAAAGAAGCAACAAGGATCACTTTAAGGGGCTGAATGAAAAAGATGTCCTGCACTAGAGAGACAACAACGGATTTAATCCATTTGTTGGACTTCTCAGTTCCCCACACCATGCTGTAAAACATTGTAAAGGCGGCACCTGTCAGGGCTGTTAGTAATGACAATGTATATGCTATGTAAATAAAACCATGAGGCAGTCTACATTTCTTTGTCTTCACCGATGATTCTGGTTTAATGTAACGAAAAATGGTTATGATCAATAGGTTTACAGGCAAGACTACCAAACTGCTTTGAATTCCAATCATCAACTCTATCCAGTTAAAGTTAATCGGACCAAACGTAATTTGGAGACCTTGTTGTTTTAAACCATATTCGTAGAACATTGCATTAGCAAACATGGAGGAAAATAGAAGCGATATACAACAAGTTAAGCGCTGCACTCGAGTGAAAGAACTGTTTGGTGGTTTGGTGTAAACTGAGAACCAGATGTGACCATCTCCTATATCTTTTGAGGCTCTTGTGTAAAAGAGATTATGGAATCCTGACAACTGTTTTCGATTGGCCACAAAAAGTACTCTTTCAATTTGTCCATCATCTTTTTCAACAGCCAACCAGCGGTTGCACATAAAGAACCATTTCTGATCTGTTGCCACGTGACGAACTACAACCTGATGAAGATTCCATGAAGGACTTGCGCCTGAGTTGTCGTGCCACAATCTCACATAGTTTAGTCGGCCAAGAACACGAGGAAGTTTCACCACAAAGGAACTTACACTGCCTCGAGGAAATGGATTTTTACTACCATTCATGTCCAGTAATGGAAGTATCTCTGTCTCTCCATTTTCGGCATTGATCATCATAGAAACATTGGCAGTTGTACCAGATGAACGAAACACTCCTGTGTAAACAGCAATCTCGTAGACATGAGTGCCAGGAAATGTTGTCCGTACAGGAATGGACACGGACAGCTATAAAGCAAAAACAAAAAAGTTGTCTGATGTACTGAATTATACACAATTGCTTCTTACTTATAATCTATTGGAGGAAACACATACATGACGTTACCATTAACAACATTTTGGTCTTTTTTTTATCATACAAAAAAAGTGCATTCCTTGTTGCCGTAAGTCTGTACAGTAATAGGGATCACGTAAAAATCTGGTAAGACCATCAGGAACACACTCGACTGCGTTTCGTGTTACTGAACAGGCGCATGGCAACAAGGGATAAATTTGTCAATTAGAACGTATGATCCGTATGATTTTACCGTTACAAATTATCTCACGGGGAATTAAATTATCACAATGTTGGTTTATAGCAACGAAATTCCACCCCCCCCCCCCCAGCCAGCTTTACAATGACTGAAACAGCAAGTAAATATTCACATGGCGCCATGATGTAGATACCTATCTAAGACCGGAAATGTAAGCCTGAGAAACTCTTTACGTGGCAAAATTAAAACATCAGTTTAGTTGTTAAAACCAACTTATCTCACCTTCTTTTCATCTCTTTTGTCAGCTTTTCTTGCAAACACTGTTGTGATAACATAAGTCAGGAAAAAAACACCAACGGTGACAATTACTCCGACATTTCCAGTCTCGCCGAGGCTGGCAAATCCCAGAAATGCCGAGTCAAATTCAATGGTGTTGGGCGGAGGAAAAAGCTCTCCTCCAAATGAGGTCAGGTGGTTACAGAAACATTGCAAGACTTCGTCAGTCGAGTTTGGACCAGGCTGTGAAAAAGATAAAGAAAGAAGTGTAACTCATCAGTAAGTTTCTTAATTACTGCGTCTCATGATGCATGAAATACGTAAAATGCTTCTGAAGGAATATTCAGTAGTTAAATGTATGTGGGTAAATATAATTCGATTAAGAAGATGAAAAAGACAATTGGAAAAGATAAAGGAAAGAAAACAGACAAAATCAGCTACTGGATAAAGGATCTCACAGATGTTCTTACAATTCTGGCTGTGAGTAAAAGAGAACCAATTACTACTTATCCCAAATTAATCTCCTTCTGCGTCACTTATAAAAATTTGCTCTTGAGTCAAACAATCGTTAAGCTGCAACGCAACGTAGTTTAAAACGGTGTTTGGTATGGTTCTATCAAAAACCTATACATTTCTTTACCTTGCACCCTCTTGTGCTCCATTCGTCTTTCAATTCATCCCAAAAGAGGCACGTGTAAAACCTAACGTCAAATGTATACAAAGTGGAAACATCTATATCACGAACAGGTATTTCAATGAGCTCCATTTTTACCCCAACTTTCGGCGGAGGAAGCTTCTCGTCGACTTTTATGCAAAGTCTTTTAGCCTTGGCATCTGATTCTGGGTCGTTCTCTTTTGGCAAGAGTGACCTTCGTTTGCGGCGACGTTTATCGTGCTCGTGATCATCGGGTTCGTGATCATCGCTGTTCTCTTCCATCCACTTCTGCCAACGCCTAAGGAGATACCTTACAACATCTTTGCATTTTACGCCATTGTACCACCGGCAATCATTTAGCTTTAATGTTGCGTTATAGTACTTACTCATCTGCTCGACGACGGATTCCTCAAGAAACTCTTCCACCTCTTTTTTTTTTGTCATATTCAATGACAAGTGCCACCACTTTTGAACCGTATAATTACCAGAATTTTGAAAATTTGTGTGGTTGACAACGGGAGTTATATAAGGTCTAATACCAACGTACCACTTGCCCAGTTTTGCAAACGAATCATTGAAGAAAACTTTAAACGGATCCTTAAGACACCTTCCATAAGTATCATAAAACAGTTTACGAGGCGTGAAAAGGATCTCCCGGCACTTCTGGTAGCGTTGTAATTCCAGTGCATAGCAAGATAACACGTTAACAGAGTTCTTACAAAGCAGAGTATCGTTTGGGCACTTTGTAAAGTTTGTGAAATTTCTACACGTCTCAGCACTTTCCTCGATCGTCTTGTTAAAAAGGAAGTACACATTAGGAATTTCATCGCATGAACAGTTAGGGTACGTAAGATTCTCATATTTGCAGATATCAGGACATTTGAGCGCGTCTCCGTCGTTTTCAGAAGGTGCAGGCGCGGGAACGGATTCATTCTTGGGACCACAAGTTTTGGCTTGGCCAGGTTTGGTAAAATTGGCATCATGATAAGTAGATGACACATTTACCTTTCCTAAGCACTGCATAAACTCAGATAAAACTGTGCAATTTTCATCCCCTGGTGGTAAACACGAGGTGAAATCAGGCAAGATGATTTTATAATCAAAGTGCGTGTCATTTGGTCTTTTTCGATGCCTCAAAAATACCTCCAAGCGTGACTCGTTGAACGGTTCTATTCGAAGAGAAAATGCCGTGTCTTTATGTTCAACTCGAAAAGTATGGTAAGCCATGGTGCCATTCACCGGATTAACAAAGTTAACTGGTATGTTTTGCCTGAGACTTTTCGCAGGGATATTAATCTCAATGTCTGATCCAGAGTTCTGAACTGGTATCAGATTTCCATGTTCATCCAGGAAAGAAAGGCTGACCACAGGTGTTCCTGGTTTGAGGGTATCATTCTTCCGCCATATGAAAGGATCCAAATCTGAGAATTGCACCTAAGGCAAAATGAAATTTTGAGACGGTAAAAATCAGCATGGCCGCGCATGATCAATGCGTCGTTTTTAAATCATTTCGAGCAGCATGCAGAACGTCCCCAGATACTTTCAAAGGAACAAACAAGATCTTCCTGTTATCAGAGCTAATTGGTCGGAAGGGTGCGTACCTGTTGAAGTCTTTTGATAATCATTTGCTCTGACGAAGGGCTGACGCTCGAAACGTCAGCTTTCAAAATTATCCCAATGCCAATTTACGTTATCAATTTAGTTGACAATACTGAATTACCCTATTGATAACAGTCCCTTAGGGAGGCGACCTGTAAATCAACCACTCAATTATAAGTGACATTACACCAATTCTTGAAAAAAAAAATCACAAAGGAGGACTGTCATCTATAAAAAAAAAAAAAAAACTGGTGCATTCGTACTGACTTCACCTTAAGGTATGGGTAGGCGTCAGTGCATAACCAGGAGGCCCGGACCAGTGTGAGGGATGCCTACGATAGACTAACATCCACCCAAGCACAAAGCTTGTGAGATTACTTAACCTTCAGGTCACGTATTGTTTCAGCTTACATTTCGATCAATGATTTTCGACTTTGAGCCATTGCCCAACGAGAGGTTCGATGGAAGAGAAAATGAGCCCCCTCTGACTTCCAAACTCCGTGGTAGGGCTTCACTAGCTCCCTGACGGTACAACTGCATAGAAACGCGTGGACTGTCAAAGAGGGCAGGTGTCTCGCCGGGAAGCAAACGGTCAAGAAAAACCTTGGCCAGAGTGTCTGTCAAGTTCCAGGCTTTCTTGGCCATGTCTTCAAACTGAAAAGTTAGAAAACAAAAGTTTAAAACAAATTATCAGAAACTTCACTCTCTAAAATTGTGTTTACGATGGGTAGTTTGTCATGATGCTAATGTTGCCTTTTTGTGATCGCAAGAGACCCGCATTGTTTGCTTTGAAAAGAAGAATTTCAATCCAAAAAAAGGAAAAAATACTTTTAAGCGTCGAAGCACTAACATTGGTGTGGACACTAACAATTAAAAAGAACCGCTTAAAACAAGTGCATACTTGAAAAGTTACTTTTCGAATGAGTTCAGCGAATTTATATAAATTTATAGTAAAAACGGTCCTCCTTCAACATTCAGTAGAAGCAAATAGCCTAGGGCTGTATGATTCTGATCGTAGCTTATG